CTTATCCACACTATTACATCATAGAGTAGAACATTCCACAAGCTGTTGCTTTTGCGGACTGCCTTCAATATAAGCTGTTTTTAGACTAACTAAATCACCCTGAATTTACAAAAATCTTTTTTTGATAAATTACTATATAAATTGCTAGTGGAATTGATTTGAATGCAAAAACTCACACCCCTACCAATCATAAATTATGCATCTGTGGAAGAACAGTATGCCATGTTCCGTTATTTTGCAAAAACTGTGCCTACAGTATGTCTGTCCACACAGTCCTATCATGCAAATATGTCTTGAATATCAGCAGAAAAACAGTTTGTTTAATAGTTTCACCTTAACATTGTCTCCATTCATGGTAATAATAACTAACTGTTCACAACTAATATTAACATTGGATTATACAAATGCATTTTTACTATGACGGCCACTACTCAATACATGTGTAGTGTATCTTTGCATCAATTTAGCTGAATTAATTTAACACAACTTTTTCTTTTTATTATCATTTAGAGAATGATCTTTTTTGGATATGAGAGTTACCACTGATTAATGCAACAATTTATTTTGTTCATTTATTTTTGGTTAATAGCAGCATCTGTGGCATGCTATTGATTATGACAGAAAATAATTTCAGCTTGTCCTTCTGTGTGTAAAAATGAAGAAAAATCTAATGAAATTCATTACATTCATTTGTATTAGTTATGTAAAAATCAATATAAACAGCCTGATGCATGATGATTCTGAGCTAATGGTATTTTATTCTAAACTGTTTTATACTGGTCATCTGTTGGGCACTGGAATCACACTCAGAATCAACTCACCTTTTCTTTGTAACATAAATACAAGCTTCTGCTTTTAAACCATGGGAAATGCGTCCACTGAATTACTGTAAATGTTTTTGTTCTTCTTTACAAACGGAGGGATCAGTCAAAATTATTTTCTGTGGTAATCGACAACATGCTACAGATGCTGAGTTTTACGTGTCCCATTCTGGGAATATTAACCTGGAATATTCCTTCTGATGACTACTCAGGAGATGCTAATGCAGAACAAAGCAGAGTTCTGGTACAAACAGTAAGAGATATTCACGAGACAGTCCTGCTCACGCTGTTCTGATCTTCTCTCATCCAGGGTAAGATAACAGTCAGCCACCTTCATGTCTCCTCTCATCACTCACCCTCAGTCCAGGGTAAGACCATGGTCGCCCCCTTGATTTCAAAGCAACAGCAGTGGTTGAATCTCACGTAAAATAACCTTTTCCATGTTGGCCAACGAGACACAAAATGTGTTGTTTTTGATGAAATGACTTAACGGCCGTTCACCACGTTTCCTCCTCAGTGTCTTCACTTCCTCACTCATCTCTTCTTTGCATTTTTCTTCTCCTCTCCAGGTTCAAAAGAGCAGCATCAGCATCATAATATCATGCTTGTGTTTTCTTGCACCTGTGCCGGATTTCATGTCAGTCATTAACAGTGACGTTTCTGTGGGGCTCTGTATAGGCGATGGCCTATATACTGTATATATGTTTCGACTGCACATATATACACTTGTGTTTTCACTCAAATAACCAATAGCCAGCCTTATTTCTGAGACACGTATGTAAGGTTTGTCACAGAGATGAGAGAACTGTGAATGCAAGTAAAAAAGTACTGCTTAACAATGTTTTATTCTGGTTTTGTATTTGTCCTTACGTCTTTTTACATAAAATTTCTTCTGATTCTGACTTCTTGTTTATCTGTCGGCTTGTTTTTTCTTCTGCCTTTCTCTTTTCTGTCTCTTTCTGATCTTGACCTGTGTTTCATGTTCTGTTCCCAGGCCCTGAGCCTCCATCTAATCTCGCCTTCAGCGATGTGACCGACAGCTCTTTCATGGTGTCCTGGACCAAACCCAAGAGCAAGGTGTCTGGATTCAAGATCACGTACACTCACGTGCAAGAAGGTAACGTAAACCTCAAAAAACAAAAAAACACCATAAATCCTTCATGAAACTAGCAGCTCAAAGTAATAGGAAATTGTCCTTTCTGCAAAGAGAGGTATTATTATTATTGTTGTTGCTTGCCTAATTAGACTAACAATCTGATGGTTAGTTTGTGTTCATTACATTAATGAGATAGAATGAATGCCGGTTACTTTAAAGTCCACATTACATAAAATGTGACACTATTTACTTTGTTTGCGCACATTGCTAGTCTCGAGGTGAACAATTAGTCCATGCAAGTTAATCCACAAAAAAAAAAAAAAAAAAAAAAAAAGAAAGAAAGAAAGAAAAATATTTGTCTTGGTAATCTTTAATCAAAATCTGAAAATTTGCTCTGGAATGGCGTTCCTTCTCTGATGACGTCAGTTTAAAGGCTTGGCCAGCAGATCCTTAACCCTCCGTTAGTTTGCTGCAAGTGAGAGATGTATTTATTTAGTATTTCATTTCAGTTGGAAAGACGTCACAATAAGGAAGTAAAGTAGGTAGCAACGTCCTCTTCATGCAGACTTCAAGGGTTTGAAATGGGAAGTGACGCCGGACACTTAAATGTTTTCACAGTTCAGGGATGTGAAAGAAGTTGACGAGAATGAGTCTTCTCAAGTATGAGTCGTCTTTACAGCCAGAACCATTGTCAGATGATTTTCATATGCAGTTGCTTTCCCTGTTGAAAAAAACTGCATATGCTGGTTAGGTATGTTTTGAAGCATGGCTGTTGGCTTGAGCTGGTTTAAGCTGGTCCTTAGCTGGTCATGAGCTGGTTTAAGCTGGTCCTTTGCTGGTTTAAGCTGGTCCTTTGCTGGTCATGAGCTTGTTTAAGCTGGTCCCTTGCTGGTCATGAGCTGGGCATGTGCTGATCCTAAGCAACTAGCTCCTGCTCAGGACCAGCTTAGGACCAGCACATGACCAGCTCATGACCAGCAGCCATGCTTCAAAACATACCTAACCAGCATATGCTGGATTTTTCAACAGCCCATCAAGAAATGTTCATGTTCTGGGAATGTTTTCAGCAGCAGAGTGTTCTGCTAAAAGGCAGGATAACGTTCTCTAAAAACATTCTAAAAATTATTTATTGATAGCATTGTTAGAACATTATCCTGTTGTTGGTTGATGGTTTATTGAAAATAATAGTTTGGTTTAAAGTCACCATTATTGTGATCAGTAGTTGGGCAGTTTGACTCAAACTTTTCAATGTTAGTTTTAATCTGACTGCTGTAACTGTGTTTGTTATGGCAAAAACAGTGAGAGAAAATGTGATCAGATGATGCTGGTTACTTGCTGAGGTTGAAAATATTAACATCATGTAGTGATCTGACCAACTTATCTCATCTAGAATTTAATCCATGCTATTAGTTTTATATTAGTGACTGTAGTAATGCGTTTCAACAGAATAAAATCCAGCAGTTTTAATCAGATAATCTATATTTTTATCTGTAATTTTTAAATCACATTGTTCACAACTTACTTTGAACTGCTGAATGCTTATACACACACAAACATCAAGAATCAGTGTATGAATCGCAACAATGGTGACATGCTTCATGCTGCAATGCATTCTGGGAGCCAATGATAAGTTTTGTATGATATGCACAGAATACATTGCAACATGAAGCATGTCATCATTGTTGAGATTCATACACTGATTCTTGATGTTTGTGTGACAAAGGTTTTTTTTTTAATCCTTGAAATGATCTGATTAAAATTCTGCTGGCTCTCAGTCTGTAGAACCATTGAGTTGTTATAATAAATAATGCACAACCAATACCATAGATTAGACTGGATGAAATCAGATAATCAGACTGTTACGTGATGATATTGTAGGATCTCTGTCTTCGAACGGACCCACTTACACTATTGAGTCACACATGAAACAATCACATTCCATTGAGACAAACTGAGGAGCCCTTATGCAGCCAGCTGAAGTCGTAAAACTCATGCAGGGTCAGTGAAGTGTTGAAGCAGTTCCTGTACTATCTAGCTTATCGTCTCAAGAGACTCAAATAAAAACAGTGCTTAAACCCTAACTCAAACTAGGATACAAACTATCTTTGTTTTACGGGCTTTCAGGGACCAGATGCGTGATACCCATGACCATTTAACACATAAATTGATAATCCCGTCAACAAAAGAGACAATTTTATAGCTCCATGTCCGAGTGAGAAGAATGGCAGACATACACTTGTGATATAGGCATGACCTCAGGACACCTCCCCTTTTCTCCTTGCATTCCAAAAAAAGAACGCACCCTTTTCTCTCTCTTCGGTCAGACAAAGGGACACGAAACTTACAACAGACAATTTCAACAGATAATCATTTATGCGCATAACAGGGCAACCAGATTCACAAATAATATGTTGTATGTCTTATATATATATGCTTGACGTGTTTCATGTAATCGGTGCAACTTTAATCAGTGTTTTATTACCCTTTTTAGGAAATAAGGTTATTAAAATGTGTGTAATATGTGGTTTAATCTTGAACGAATTGGCACGACAAATGCAGAATGTTGAAATGAAGTAAACGTTAATAGTATGTACAATACTTGCATTTAAAGAAACTTTATAAAAGTATTAACACAACTTTTATAGATGGTGTCCGCATGTAATAAAAGTGAAGCTTCGTGTTAAGGTATGCGCGCCCCGCCTTGCATCAAGTTGATTGGAAGAGCGCGCCGTGGGACGGACTTGTGCCGCAGGTCAAAACCCCACTGCAACACAGATTCAAGTGCTTCTCGCTGCTTACTCTCTCGAGTGAAGGCTTTTCGCCGCTTGCTCTCCCGAACGCAGGCGATTCAATTGCTTCTCGCTGTTTACTCTCTCGAGTAAAGGCTTTTTGCCGCTTGCTCTCCCGAACGCAGGCTCTTCACCACTTGCTCTCCCGAGCAAGGCCTTGTCGCCGTGTGGATAGCACTCTATCTTGTGCTCACAAGCTGAACCATCAGGCGATCGACCATCTAAGAACTCAACTACTCCGTTGAAGCTTCGTAACTCTGCAGAACGCAAAGTCTTGCTAGCCATAGTAACAGCCGTAACCCGGAAGTTACGACAAACCTTTTCCGAGTTAACTTTCAGTCCGCCAGCTCCATTTTTGAGCTGTTTGTAAACAAACAGCCATGCATGAGCTAAGCTAACTGAAGCTAACGCTTCCCATAGGAGCATATGCAAAGCTAGTAGCATTGAAGGCTAGCGGGTAGCACGTAGCATTGTGTGGTGAAGATCACCAGCTCCTTAAGCCACACACTCATCGACACCCTCATGCTGAGCGACAGGCACGCCGCCCATCTCCAGCAGGAGCTAACACGTGCACAACGACGCGTCGAGCAGCTAGAACTGGAGGCTCAGGAACGACAGGAAGGGCCTGATGAAGTGGAACAAGGCAAACTATTGCAGCCCACCTTTCAAACCCATTAACTCATCCCATTTCCACCTCCGACCTAGCCACTTCCTACGATCTCCGCATGCTCCACTCTATCAAGCACATGCTGCATCTCAAAGACGGCGTTCTCACATATGTCCCCGAGCCCCTCACTGCGCCAAAGCTCGTAGTCCCTCAGGGCCAAAGGGGGACAATGCTGACACACGGCCACGATTCACCATGCGTTGGACACCATGGCACCAAGGCCACCTACAAAACGCTCAAGCAAGTAGCATACTGGCCTGGCATGCAGCAAGACGTGGCGGAGTACGTAAATACTTCCTCACCGTGGTTTGCGAATTCACAAAATGAGTAGAGTGTCTCCCAGCTCCCAACGATACAGCAGAAACGACAGCCTGCCTTTTGATGAACCACATCTTCTCAAGGTTCGGACTGCCCTTAAGGGTC